AGCAGTGAAGTGGCTAAATTTGCGGATGATACGAAGTTGTTCAGGGTGGTGAAAACCAGTGAGGATTGTGAGGCACTCCAAAGGGATCTGTCAAAGTTGGGCGAGTGGGCGTCAACATGGCAAATGGGGTTCAATGTGGCCAAGTGCAAGGTGATGCACATTGGAGCCAAAAATCCTAACTATAAATACACGTTGATGGGGTCTGAACTGGCAGAGACAGATCAAGAGAGAGATCTTGGAGTTGTAGTAGATAACTCACTGAAAATGTCGAGACAGTGTGTGACTGCAATAAAGAAGGCCAATGCTATGCTGGGGATTATTAGGAAGGGTATTGTAAACAGATCAGCCAATATCATAATGCCGCTATATAAATCAATGGTGCGACCTCATCTGGAATACTGTGTGCAATTCTGGTCACCACACCTTAAAAAGGATATTATAGCTTTGGAAAAAGTGCAGAAAAGAGCAACTCGAATGATAAAAGGGTTGGAACACTTTCCCTATGAGGAACGGTTAAGGCGCTTAGGGCTCTTTAGCTTGGAGAAACGACGACTGAGGGGTGACATGATTGAGGTTTATAAGATTATGCATGGGAAAGAGCAGGTAGAGAAAGAGGTACTTTTCTCCCTTTCTCACAATACAAGAACCCGTGGGCACTCCATGAAATTGCTGAGCGGTCGGGTTAGAACGGATAAAAGGAAGTACTTCTTCACCCAAAGAGTGATTAACACTTGGAATTCACTGCCACAGGAAGTGGTGGCAGCTACAAGCATGGACGGCTTCAAAAGGGAATTAGATAAGCATATGGAGCAGAGGTCCATCAGTGGCTATTAGCCACAAGGTATAGATAGGGACTCTGGGGCAAGTGATGCTCTGTCATCTTGGTGCTTGGGGGGGGGTCAACAGTGGGAGGGCTTCTAATGTCCTGGCCCCACTGGTGGACCTCCTGATGGCACTGGTATTTCTGGCCACTGTGGGATACAGAGTGTTGGACTGGATGGGCCTTTGGCCTGATCCAACATTGGCATCTCTTATGTTCTTATGTTCTTATGTTCTCTAATCTGGGAGAACCAGGTTTGATTCCCCACTGTGCTGCCGTTTACCTCTTCCCCGATCCCCCTTTCAAGTCGATTACCAGGCGGGAACTAAACCTTGCGCAGCTCCTTTTACACTTTCCCCCTGTTGTTTTAATTTTTTATTCAGCGACCCAAGACTAGCAATAGTCTCATATCACTAGACTCATGCTGCTTGTCAAAAAAAATTGAAAATTTAAAAGTATGAGGGAAAAGGCGCTTGTACACCAATAAAGGGGGGAGAATGGCAGAAAGTGCAGAGTGGGTGGAATGACCTCGATGTGGGCGGGGGAGTGACCTTCGAGGGGCAGCAAAAGGACAGGGGGAGGGATCCAAGGGAATCTGTGTGCTTTTGAAGAAGAAGAAGAGGAGATTGGATGAGAGAGCTCTGGCAGAAACTGCTGTTTTTCAAGAACAGCTCTTATCAGAACTATGGCTTGCCCAAGGTCATCCAGCCAGGTGCAAGTGGAGGAGTGGGGAATCAAACCCGGTTCTCCCAGATTAGAGTCCATGCTCTACCTTCGGCTTGGGAGCAAAACAAGGGGGAAATTGGTACAAAAGCACTCTCAGAAAACCTGGGGAAACAGCAACCAGAAAGCGAACTGAGCACTGGAGGAATATCAATGCAGAATGACAAAGAAAACCCAACGGACATGCACAGTGAAAGAGAGGGAAAACACCCATACATAATAGGCCTCTCTCCCCTTTCCTCCCCAAACGTTGGTTGATGAGTACTAAGCATGCTCATTGCCTCTGGAATGTCAAAAGCAGTTGAGAACAGTTGAACAAAAGCAGTTGAACAAAAGAAGAGAGTCAACAGATAGGAAAGGCCTTCTTCAATATCCTGAGAGCTGATGGAATCCTGGGGGAGACATTTAGGGTCAGGGAAGGAAATGCTGCCATTTGTTTCAAAAAACCCCTCCCCTTCACAGATAGACACATTTTTGCAGGTCCCCCCACATGGTATGTTTTTATTCACCGTTTTGGCGAAGGGGGAAAAAGTGAGGCGATAAGATTTTTAGATCTCTCTGTATATTTATATTCTCTAGACTGGTGAGAGAAGTCCAGTTCTACAGCAACAGATGCAAAGATATGTGGGAACATCTGGGTCCCAGCTGAGCTGTACAGCTGTGCTCCGTCCAACGCAAAGGGCTGAGTTTGACGAACGTTGTGAGAAGCGAAGCAATAAATAATCCATCCTATAGCTATCCTGGAAATATGATACAATCATTCTTTCTTATTCTGCCTCCACTGAGCTACTGGTCTTCCCCTTCCGTACAACCTCAAATCCCGTGGACTCCAGGACCGCACGTTTTCAAGGCAACAGACGGAACAGAGGTGGTTCGCCATTGCTTTCTTCTGCAGAGCAACCACCGTCTTCCTTGGTGGTCTCCCATCCAAGTTCTAACTGTGGTCAATCCTGCTTTGCTTCCAAGCTCTGACAAGATCAAGCCAAACTGGGTTATTAGGTTGCTGTGCTAGTCTGTAGCAACAGAATAAAATAGGAGTCCAGTGACACCTTAAAGAAGGACTAATAAACTGTATTCCAGCGTAAGCTTTTGTAAGTCAGAGCTCACTTCATCGGATGCAATGGAGTGTAAATCTACCAGGCCTATATACATATATTTTGCAAAGAGAAGCCAACTGAAAATAATCTAAAGAGTAATTGGTCCACTAAGAATGCAAGTGAGACACGCCCAACTGTTCTTAGGTCCCTGCCACACGGCAGGGAAAAGGACGGGCGAACTACGGCAAATCAGAGCCGCAGCAATGTTGAGACAGCGTGGCGGGATCTCACAGATCCCCCGAGCCGCGGCGCCGTTGCTCCCCGGCATGATCAGATGCCGGGGAGAAAGCGACGGTGGAAAGGGGAGGCTGCCGAACTGCGCATGCTCACACATGCGCAGTTCGACTGGGGGCCGGATGGCTGTGGTCTTGGCATTGTAGGACCTGACTGTAACTTTTAACATAGGGACTATTCAATCTAAGAACCTTGAGGAATGCCCCTCCCCCCATCTTAGAATTACTGCAAGTTCTGAGGATCACTCTCATAGTGAGTTTGGAATCCCAGCTACCTTTAAGCCCTATATTGTCTTGAATTTGCTTTGTTCTTGTTGTTCAGTCACACAGTCGAGTCCGACTCTTCGCGACCCCATGGACCAGCTCCCGCCAGGCCCTCCTGTCTTCCGCCGTCCTCTGAAGTTGGCTCAATTTTATGTTCGTTGCACCTATGACACTGTCTAACCATCTCATCCTTTTCCGTCCCCGTCTTCTTTGACCTTCAATCTTTCCCAGCATCAGGGTCTTCTCCAGTGAGTGCGCCCTTCTCATTTGGTGGCCA